AAAAGGAAAGGAAAAGGAAAGGAAAAGGAAAGGAAAAGGAAAGGAAAGAAGGAAAGAGAAAGAGAGGGAGAGAAAGACAAAACAGAGTGGAAAAGGTACTTTTTTACAACATCTTCTCCATTCCAACATGGCAGACCATCAAAAGCTGCCAACTTATTACCACACAGCTGATCAGCCAGGCCACCATATAAAGGCTCTGTAGAGGCGAAGGTGGCTGATAAATTCTCTGCATGGAGGAAAATGGAAGCAATTGACAGTGTCAATCAACAGTATTATGCACTACTGCACTTGTGCATTTCTACAAGAAGATACAGAATGTGCTTTTTCTAATATTGTCTCTTGCTTCCAATGATTTTTTAGCCAATTTTCTGTTACCTAAGTTTGATTCCCTCAGATACATTTCAGTAGTTAACAGCGTTGATACTTGCATTTGTGAAAATTAAACAAAACAATTTGTTCATGCTCTGGAACAGGAATTATTTTCCTCCACTCTGAAATTTTGTCATATAGTTCTAATACAGCTTGCACTGATACACTCGTAGAAACGTACTTTTTTTTTTTTAAAAAAAAAAAGCATAGCAAATTAAAAAAAAAAAAAAAAGGTGGTTATTGTCATCTGTTTTTCAGCACTATCAATCTGTCACAATCCAGTTTTACAAGTAATAGAGAGAGTACTGATTACAGTTTTGGAGCAATTCAAGATTTAGGTAAGATGAGTTTAAGATGTAGACATTAAATATTTAGAAGATATTTAAATTACTGTCTGAAAAATGACATTAATTTTATCACCCTATGCTGCTAAGTTATAAATTATATATTGCTATTTTGAATAATCGCCAAGATGCCCAGAGCTTATGGTAAGTTTTTATACTGAAATCAAAACAAATTAGTGTTGTGTTTTTTTTTTTTTAGTTAGTATATTTGTAACTGAATTGTGATATTTATGTTTATAATTTGTTTGCTTATTTATTGAAAATCTCTTCCTGGGAGACCAATTCCTGCTGTGAAAAATTAAAATACTTTTTTATTCTGGTTTAGAATATCGCAGTATACTGAGTTATCTATGACCCACAGGCACAAAGGAGAGTGGTGCCAACAAATTCTGTACTCTGTTCTATAAATCCACAATCTTCAGTTCATTTTACCTTATTGAATGGTGTTTGGAGTTGTAAAAAATGTTTTTAAGTTCTAGACATTTCCCAATGTTTAGTTATCTTAGATCTAAAATAGCATAAGGAATTCAATTCTTAGTTATTGTTTACTAAAAACTGACAGTGGTAAAACCTGAGTATTAGATGCAGTCTATCATTAGAATAGCAGAATACACAAAGCATAGGGATTCATAACTACTATAACTATTTAATGCAAGTTGTTTGTATTAGCATATCTAAAACTGCAGTTCTGAAAATATCAGGTAGAGAGACATTTTTGACTGCATCATAAAAAAACTGCATATGTGCAACATATTTTAAATACATAAATATGATTCATCTGTGCTCCTCCAACCATGGATGGTTACAACCTGTAATTTTCTGTCCGCAAAGTTGCATTTTCCATTTTACACTGAGTGTGACTGCTTTTAACTATGTGTTGGGCTAATGTTCTGGATGAAAATTAGGGATTAGAGTCTTCTCACAGAAAATAGCTGGAATTTCTTTTGTACAGTCAATCAATCCAATCAACTCCATACAGAAATGGAAATAAATTAGCTGCTATAATATCTTATGACAAACTGCATTCTAACAGAAAAGTCAATTATTCAGTTTATTAGCAAACACAACCTGAAGATGAAGTTAATATATAAGTAATAACTGATTTCAACCCCTGTAGATGTCTGACCAAAGTAGTTAGAAGGGCAGATGGTCTGAATGTGAATTTTCACATCATCTTCTAGATCAGACAGCATGTAATTACAGGCAGTTGAGCACAAATATGCAATTATACTCAGTGGAAGCTACTAATATTTCTCATCTATTTATTTGGAAATATTCTTGTTTGTTTGTTTGTTTGCTTACAGTTTCACTCTCCTTGCTAAAACCTAGCTAGGTTTTGGAGGAGAAAACGTTGCATATTTTTAATATTGTATGTTATTCCATAAGGTTCATCTGACAATTCCTACAGTCAGAAGCAAAGTGGAATTTTTTTTCCTTCATGTACCACACAGTGTTAGAAATTATCTGCTTGGGATGCTGAAGTTTAAACTGTCTGATAGTGAAAATAATTTAGGAAAAGGTCAGATAGTGATAGTCCAACACATACTTCAAAATATAAATTTTCATCTGCAGCTGGACATGAAGAAATTAGTGAACATTTCATGGAGCCCTTCCGTTCATTTCCTTTTCTTACAGTCATTGTCATTGATCAAGTCTGCACCATTTGGGAGAAACCTGTTCTTTCCTGCCGAACTTGTGAATGTGGCTGGGAGATATACAGCAGGTAAATAAAGTGGTTGAATGGGAGAACTGTGCTTCCTTAAAAGCAAGCTGTAAGCAATTGCTGAAGTTGCTCTTCTCCTTGAGGAATTGTTAGAGTTGCCATGGGAATATAAAGAAAAACATAAAGTGATTATGACAAATGAGGAAGGAGATGATCCAGGAGGTAGCAAGTGAAGGTGAAGTGAACTATGTAGTTGCTAATCTGAAATATGTGCCAGTGGATTTTGAAATCACTTCCCCGTGCCCCTCCTCCCTCCCAGCTTCACTGTTTTTTACAGTCCACTCCTCTGATGTCCCTTAAGTTTCCCCTGAGGTCAGCTCAGACACATTTTTACATCATGGAACAGTCCCAGATGAAGTCAAATGTTAAAATACAGTTTTATATTTTCAGTGTGCTAGCAATGGGTAAACATCAACCGCTTAGCCACAAAAAAAGTGCCTGTGGAATAGATATTGACTGATGAAATTCTGTGCCAGTCAAAGCAAACTTCTTTTTTGCATCTCTTTCCCTTCATTATTTCATGCCATTCCTTTGAATATAATCTATTCTGTTGTAAAATTAATGGCTTACTTTATTCTTTCTTTCTGGCTGTAAAACTGATGTCTTACTTTCTTCTGCTGGCAAGGGTTTCCTCAATGTCTCTTGAGAACATCTTCAGCCCCTGGTTATATTTGTTCTGATCAAAAGAGCAATGCAGAGACTGTGTAGGCTTCTTTACAAGTGGGCCACGTACCTTGTTCACCTAAAAGGAAAACAGACATTTAAGAAATGAAAAATAAAAGTATTAAGAAAATACATGTTAAAGAACATATGTAAGAATTTTATTTATTTATTTATTTATTTATTTATTTATTTATTTATTTGGTATCTCTTTATTCTGTTTAAGTCCATTTTAACATGAAAATCTGTGGACACATCATGAAGATTAGCTAAGAAAAATATCATCAATTATCATAATTGTCAGCACTGTGCCCACAGAGAAGGCAGAAAACACACAATTGTATTTCATTTTGTTGTATAAGAAAAATATAAATGAAATCACTCCTTTTGAAGGAATACAAGATGAATAAGCAAGTTACAAAATGTGTTTTATTGATGGTGGCTGTCAAGAAAATGTACAGCTATGCAGACAGTAGCAGTAACCTCAAAGATCAAGACATGTAATGAACAGCAGCATATTTCCATTTTTCAGTAATAAACTCCAATCATATTTTTAAATATGCATTGAACTCTGTGATTTCTTATGGAGTTGATGAATTATTATGGCATGTTCAGCACAGTTACTCAGAGCATACAGTGAACACTTAGCATGATGGAAACTTGCATTACAACTTTGGAAGATGTAAATTTAATGATCCGAGATGCATGTTTAATGATTCAGACCACAGACAATGAAAACGCTAACTGATTTTTTATGTCTGGTTTTCTGATCTACATTTCAATACATATGAATTCACATGAACTTTTAAATGTGATACTGAGCATTTTCTGCTATGAAGGATATCAATCCATGTTCATAGCTCATTATTCTTCCTAGTCACTGAAGAAAAGTAATTAATGCCATACCTACTTGTTAAATAAGAGATACTTCATGCTGAGGATCACATCAGGCAAGATATTAAGCAGACAAAACAGTACATATCTTGTTTGCATGCTCTACTGAAAAACTAATACTGTATGTGATTTATTAAACTTTGATTTCAATACATAGTCAACCTCATTAAAAGAAAAAGTAAGACAGAAGAATTCAGGGCTGATTTAAAATAAAATGTCATTATCTTTTACTTTGACTGAAATGAACATATAAAGAAAACCAGAAGTTTTTATGGCCACAGTGCCTGGTATGGACAAAGCCCATTTTATAGATTATATGGTTACTTCAAAATGCTATCTAATAACTGATTACATGGGCTGAGAGTGATAAGACAACAGGGAATGGTTAGATACTAGGAGGATGTTTTTCACTCAGAGGGTGGTGACACACTGGAACAGGTTGCCAAAGAGGTTGTGGATGCCCCATCCCTGAAAGCATTCAAGGCCAGGCTGGATGTGGCTCTGGGCAGCCTGATCTAGTTGTTGGTAACCCTTCCCATGGCAGGGGAGTTGAAACTAGATGATCTCTTTGTTGTCTTTTTCAACCAAGACCATTCTATGAATCTATTATTCATTCTCTTTGAGTGAATGTCTCAAGAAATGCTTTGTGAATTTTGCATTCACTGATACATTTACAAGTAAACCTTAGTTTCAAATATAAAATCTTTCTTAAAAAGTAATCTTAATCTTAATTTTTATTTATTTATATTTTTTTTCCCCAAAAAGATCTGTATGGAAAATTCTGAAAACAGCATTAGTTAAATTGTGAAAAGTGCTTATAAGCACCACACACACACCTCTGCCATTACCAAAAAGTACACATTGTACTCATAGCGCTAAGAGCTGTTCTGTTGGTATCAACATCTCTCACAGCTGGAAGTTACCTCAGTAACCTTTAGCAAAGTCACTTACTTCTTTGGACATTGTTTCTGCAAGGGGAACATGTACAAGCAGGATGAGCATGTACAAGCAGGTACTCTGAGGATGTAATTGTCTATTACACTTCCCATATCTCTTATATTCAAAGCCTTGGAAACACTGCCTGCCTGTGTGGCTGACTAGTGTGGTGTCAGTTACTTCTTGTTAAGTGCAGCACACAGTATCATTCACCCACCTGTCTTTTTTTAAGTGCTCACCATTGGCTGTCATTTTTGTGTCATATTCAAGACACTAACTGTACACGAGTGGCAAATGGACTTCAGCCTTCCTCACAGGCGCAGTGTCTTCAGTGAGCTGCTGTTGTGTCCATGAAAAGGTCATACAGTATTACCTTGCCTTCAGGTGCCCACTGTGTCTGTGAACCAAATATTTCAAAACTGAAATGTCAGACTTTCATGTCCCAGTAGAAAGCTGATGATACACTAATAAATAAATAAATAAATAAATCTAATAAAGTATAACAATGTCTATAATATTTAATAAATGTCTACTTATTTTGAAGATGCGTTCTTCAAGTCTCCAGAATGAGTACATGGCACAAGTATAAGGCCACTTAGTTTATTTCCACTGCTTTCAGGAAAACTATAACATCCATTTGACACATTGTTTCAGTCTTTGGGCTGCAAAGTTAACCATCCAAGCAGAAAAAAATAAAAAAATAAAAAAAAATCACCCAAAATCATCCAGTGCTATTACTGCCATTCTTCAGAGACAAAGACAGGAATAACTTTGAGAGAAAGGGAGCGCATTCACTACATGAATGATCATTTTGCAGCAATATCTGATCAGAATGTATTCTTATCATCTGCCACTTCCACTGAAACATTTCCACAAAAGGAGAATTTCCTGACCTCAAAAAATAAAATAAAATAAAATAAAATAAAATAAAAATAAAAATTTTACAGTATAAAATGATTCTCAGAGGGAACTGAAAATACCCTGAGGAAAGTGAGACTGAAAAAAAATGCCTCAAAATATTATTCAAAAGAGAATTACAAATCTTCAGGAAGAACTAAAAACTGCTGCAATATTTTAAAACAGACAAGCCCATGCAATTTACTAGATGCTTTCTTTCCCCCTCCTTTGGTCAAATGTTCTCAAAAAATACTGAACAATATGTAAAGGCTTACAAGGAAATCTCAGAAAATTATGGAACTCCTGATTTTCACAGTTCAGACAAACCTATTGTCATTATACTTAGCATGCTGTTATTATGCACAATTTGTACGCCACAGTGTGATGACTGGGTTAATTAAAAGCTCTTATAATAACCATGCAGTTAAATTGCAATTAGTGCCACCCATGAACTTTATGGCAGTTTGACTTTGCGTGGTGCAATTCAGTAGAACATCTCTGGCTACACATCGTTGGGAAAACTTGAATATCATAAACCTTTGCATTTAAAGAGGACTGGACAATGATGTGAGCATTGTATCAGTAACAGTGAGACACTGTTCTCTAGGTTGGTGCCTTCAATAGGGCAAATCAGTCACATTCTTCAAGACTTTTTACCACTTCAATAATGTTTATTTCTGACTTCATCATTTATAGTGAAATTATCTCATTTCTTCATTGATTCTGAAATGTGATTATCACTCCTTTAATTTAAATTTAGATTTAAATCACTCATTTAATTTAAAGAGTGAAATAAAAGTAACATGTGCAAAACTGGAAGCAAGCAGGAATTTGACTGAATGAGAGAAGATTGCTGAGTGAAAGCAATCACAAACAGTCCTGCAGAAGACAGAGGTGCTGTACAGGTAGATTTGGACTTGATAAGTATCATGACTGCCTACAAATATGAAGGAAGATTGAAAAAAGAAGGTATGTACACAAGCACACAAGTACGTATGTACATATGTGTGTGTGTGTGCAATTATGTATGCGTATATATCCATGGGTGAACACAGATATTCACAGAAATACTTTTTTCCATTGCATCCATATGCACAAGAAAAGAAAATAATTAGAGACAAAAAGATGAACAGATCTATCTGATCTAAATAATCTAAGATGCTAACACACATGAGCCTGGTATTCACTAGTGGCAGTGACACAGTACTGACACCATGGTACTGATAAAGATGATGTGCCGTCCCATTTAGGTTTATGTGTACAGCATTGGGACACAGAGAGGTGCTACAAGTACACTACATTAGGTACCAGAACTGGTCTATCTCCCAGATGCAGGAGTTCACACCAGCTCCAGGCCAGCAGAAAAGTTTGGCAGTGACAGTACTGAAACAAACTGAACACACAGTGCTCTGGCATACTCCAAATCAGATAACACTAAGTCACAGTGGTTAACTGTGCCATATCTTTAAACCATTCCACCATGCCAGAAATAGGCCTCAGGAATCCTGAGATCTGCTGCTCCAGTTTTGGTCACAGGCTGTTGCAAAATACTCTGAAAAGATGAGTATCTTCTAGTTGTGCAGTGTGCCTGTAGTTTGCTTTCACTAGTTCTTATGTATGTACCTAGAATGAGAAGGAAGAAAACACTTCTGCATACAAAACCCCCATGGCTTAGACTCAGCTGTAGCAGGGAATTAGGACCAGGAGTCTGAAAATTGCCCTTTATTTGACACCTGATTTTTTCATGTCTGTGCACTTGTGTAAGTTTTTGTGAACATGTGTGTAAGCTTTTGATAAATATATATCAAGGATTTCCTGTTAATGTTTCCCATTCACTAGACTAGAACACAGTCTCTCAGACTGTAAGGTACTAGAGAGGTTGTAGTTCATGTATGAACATAAGACTAATTTTCTTTCATGCATATTTCAGTTACTGATCAGTCTGATGGCCTTCAGATGTAGCTATCAGAAATTTGCCACCATCCCTTGAATTCCCTGGAATACTGGTGAAAAAATGGACAGAAGTCCAATGGCTCTAAACAAAAGCTACAAGAAGATGGCAGAATGACTGTTTGAAAATATGTTCTTTAAAAAAAAAAAAAAAAAAAAAAAAAAGCTATTAAGTGGGCTATAGTTGGTTCCCTGGGAATGAACAAGTGCATATGTTCCTTGAGAAACAGATTCTTGAAGTCACAAGTGTTTCCAGCAACTTCAAACTAGTCAAAATTTATCCAGAAACACAAGTCATCACGTCTACAACATTTCCTGATTCAGATTCAAAACTTGGAAAGAGATGTGTGATACTTTCAGGTAGATAGATGGCTGCATGTCAGTCAGAGAAGCTTAGTAAGAGCA